TATAAAGGTTTGAATCAAAATTTTTTAGGAGCATGAAGACAGAGATTAGTTACAAATCGGGAAAGGTTTTCCTGAAGTTGTGCATCAATTAAGGATAAGATTTCAGGCAGTAGAATTTCACACAAGGTGGTAGGACTGTTGAGTGCAAAGAACTAAGAAAATATCCAAGGGACAGCAAGTATCCTGCAGAGGATAAAGTTCTTAGAGAAGAACATGCAGTGTGATAAAAGGCTGAAAATAGACAGGGTTCAACTCGATACTGAGAACATTATAAACCAGCGGATGGCATTTGGACTATAGACAAAAGGGAACTGTCAGCACTGGGATTAAGAAGGTTGGCCGTGGATTCAACTTCATGGACATGGGTTCCAGCTCAGGTACTTACTAGCTGTTGGGCAAACTGGGTAATCACTCTATGCCCCGATTTTTCCAACTTCAAAATAAAATAAATCACACACACACACACACTCACAGCCATTTTTGAGTTATTATAAGATTAGATTCAGTGTGTTAACACATGGAGAGTGTTTAGTGCAGGAGTATACCAGAGCTTAATATTAATGTTCTTATTTTTCTTATTAATAGTTCCCATTATGTGAGCTGAGTTTGAGGCAGTTTATTATGGGGAGATTAAAATGAAATGGGGCAGAATGGCGGCAGACAGATAGATTAGAAGGCAGTTGCAGAAGAGGCAAGGTAAAATGAAAAGGTGAGCTTTAGATTAAGACAGAAATAGTTTCAAGTTCTATTTTCATTATTTATTTGTAGATTCAGTGCCTTGGCTCGATCACTTAACATCTTGAATCAAATTCTATTTTTCATTAACTATAAAACGAGATCATAACACTGTGGCTGCTTTAAGGAGACTGAGTGTTAAAGTATTAGCTGTGTGTTTCAAAATTAGTAGCTGCTCAATAAAACTGTAAGTTTAAACAACTCCTATTGCTGTTATTAATACTAGAATCTTAGTAAGGGGTAGCAATGACTAAAAGAGGTAGCAAAGGCTTGACT